GTGTTTGTTGGATTATTTATCGAAAATTGATTGAACTTGAAAACGATCTGTATTGTAGTCTAGTAGCATTGGTTCAAACATATTATTTTTTGTTGTAAGCTATTTATGACTTTGATTAGATTTCAAGTCAAGTAATCGGTGAAATATTCTTAGCTAAGACATATAGCTGTGCAGTTTCAAATCTGTCTCCGAATTCAATTACTTATTACCAACCGTCGGACAAAATAATGAAGAAATAGCTGAGAAATTTCCGTAAGTCCAACCGCATCTAACAGTGATTGTATTCAAGCAGTATAAATTATCAGTGATTATTTATATTTTCAGGAGTTTTAGATGAGATAAAATATTAAAGTTTTATACCTAACAAGGAGATATGTAAAATATTCAGAACATTTCCAATCTAATAATAAACTGAAGTATTTCTTGGATGTACCTTAGTTTATTTGTCTGGTCTTGGTTAAATTTAAAAAGATGGACGTCATTTAGCGGTGTTTTGACTTTACTTTTTTTCTAATTTGATGATGAGAATTTGGATTTAAAGTCAATTATTTCTATGATATCAATCTGATATTATTCAGCAATTCATCTATTAGGCCTAGTTCTCTAAATGATCAGTGTTCAATCCATTCAATCAATTTAAGTTCTGTTATTAAAAAGTCATGTTTGTGATACGTGGATCACTTACGAATATCGGTAACCTTGTTATCTTTTAAATAAGAAATGTAGCTGACAGTTAATCTATTTACCTTTGTTTAGCGTGGTTAGTAATTCCATGAATTATGACAGGATGATATTGTTCAGATAGTGTTAAGATATGAGAAATCAATGAGAATAATAAATATTGGAAGTTTGTTTACTCCCAGCTCATTCATTAACTGTTGTTTTATCTTTATTGTTATCAATGTGTTGTAAATTAATTATAAACCTGTCCTAATAAACAAGTGTTATAATTTTTAATTTATGGTATATTATGACCTATAATTGTATCAGAGAATGTTGTAAAAAGCGTATAGTCATGTTTTTCACGAGTGGAGTGATAATTGAACAAATAATTGTGATGTTTAACAGGTTATTACTCAATTAATAGAGAAATTACATAAAGTGATACACAAAGATCGTTGACAACTAATTCATTTTTAGTTCAATATCAATCATCTTCTAATGCATTAAGATTTCTGTAAATGATATTCCGATCTGTATAATTGTCAACTAGTAACTAATAATATGTAAAAGATTGTTAATATAAGCCGAATGTTTTCTAAATGCAAAATATCTCTATAATAATAATGGTAATATTAATAATGGTATCATGAATACTATTCAACACGTATAAAAAGATATACATAAGGATTCCTAATAGAGAATGATTGTTTGTTCCTTTACATAACTTTATAGGTCAATGAATATCTATAATATCCATTTTGATTACTTCATCAACTTTCTAACAAATAAGATAAATGTCGAACTAATCGTCTAGTTGGAGTATTTTTAACAATTTCAACAAGAGGATGAAAGGTTCTTTGTCTTTACTTGTTTACCTTTATTTTCATAAAAAATGTTTTATAATTTAGAGAAAATAGAAGTAAACTGGTCTAAAATTGATCACACTACGAACTGTTATATAATTATCTGAAGAAGAAGAGGAAGAAGTATGAACTATGTGAAAAAAAACTAGGAGACATTCAAGAAGCAAACTATACAAAACAGTAGTACTATTAAAATTACAAACATTTTTACTAAACTAGAGGTATTATCCCCAGGTCTAAAATTTTGTGATACTCGTAATAACTGTAACCACATCGATACAGATATACAGTTCGAGAATCTTTATAGTCAGACACGTGATCTAGGTGTGAATTCTGATCATCGATTAGAACATTCTTAATCAACTCTTGTAGACTGCTGTTACCAATATAAAAACAATAAATTTAGTTACAAAAGCATTCTTACGAAGAAGCACAAGGAAGCTATCAACCTACTTCTTAAGAATGAGACTTTACTGATTACAAAACCTGACAAAGGTTCAGGTGTTGTTCTTCTTAATAAAAGTGATTATATTCAAGAAATGAGTACAATCTTAAATGACAAATTAAAGTTTCAAAAAATAACTGACCAGAAAGATTTGAATAATAAGATAGAGAATGAGCTTACCAGATCCTTGAAGAAGCTCAGGGACCAACAGGTTATCTCATCGGGTTTATATGAAATGATTAAACCATTGGGAATCTATCTGCCGAGATTTTATGGACTGCCAAAGGTACACAAACCGGGGATCCCATTAAGACCTATTCTAGATATGTATAACTCTCCTTACCATAATATAGCTAAATGGTTGGTAGCTGTATTGAAACCTCTACACGAAAAGCTTGCAAAATATAGTGTGAAGGATGTGTTCCAGTTTGTTGATAAAATCAAAAATGCAAATACGTTGAAATCAAAGATGATATCATTGGATGTAACATCGTTATTCACAAACGTCCCACTCATAAAGACTGTAGAATATATAGGTGAACAGCTGATTGAAAATGAAATTGAAACTACTGTTCCTACCAATACCGTGAAAGAGTTATCACTCAAATGCACCATGAATGTGAATTTCAAGTTCAACGGTGAAATATATAGAGAAACAGATGGTGTTGCAATGGGTTCACCACTAGGCTCTATACTAGCTGGTATTTTTCTAGCCAAACGAGAAAACGGTCCACTAAAAAAGATTATTCAAAACTTCACATTTTACTGTAGATACATGGATGAAACGTTCATCCTCTGTAAAGATAATACGTCGCCGCAATTCAAATTCTTAGGCGATTTAATGAAGTGCATCCAGCCATTCAGTTTACATCTGAAGAAGAGAGTGACGGCCGAATAGCATTTTTCGTCGTTCTCTTGACTAAGAGAGCGGATGGATCGTTAAAAAGGAACGTAAACAGAAAAAGTATATGGACTGGGCAGTATACGAATTTTCTGAGCTTTGTACCTATACAGTACAAACGAAACTTGATCAAAACCCTTAGTTGCCGTATACGCACTATATGTTCCGCTGATATAGTTGAACAAAAGCTTAACACCTTGCATAATACTCTCAGGGAGAACGGCTACCCTAGAAATTTTATAATTAAATATATGGTCACGAAGGCGAAAATAGGTGAAATACAAACAGTGAAGAAGAAATCCCTGTTCATGCGTCTACAATTCAGAGGGGATGCAGCTAGTGAAATACTAACTCAGAGATTACGTAGGACAATACAAAAGTCTTTTAACGCCGGAGAACTGCGATTAGTATTTTCTACGCACCCAATGGTTACACCAAAGCTAAAAGATGAATTACCTAGAATGACCACCTCATTTTGTATTTATCAGTTCGACTGCTCCTGTGGAGCGAGTTATATTGGTCGCAGTTCTAGGAATTTACATTTTTGTGCTCGTGAACACCTTCCAGCGTGGCTAAACAAAGGTTTGATGAAGAAAGTGAACAGCTCAATATTGGCCTATTTAGTACAAACCGGTCATTATTATTATTATTATTATATGGCTTTATTCAATATTATATTTTGGTACAATATAGAATTCTCAGCACATCGTCATAGTGCCAGTATAAACCAATCTTTTTCAATTATTTATAAGGTCAGTAATTTTTTGTCCAAAGTGGTCAGACTTATAGTCCTTCAAACGGCTGAAGCAGTAGCCATCCGGATGAAGAAACCGGAGCTATGCGTACAGAAGAAATATATTCAACCACTTTTCCTCCTCTGGCCAACATCAAGGCCAATCAATCAATTGTAATCTTAACTACTGAATAACCTAATTTGACTATGACCTTTCGTAGTCAATTGTAATTGTCCCTGTTATCTTAAATCTTCGTATTATTATTATTATTATTCGTATTATTGGTTAAACATCATTAATCTCCCCTATACATGATTCACTCACTTCTCATTCATCCCTCTGTATTACGTCTTACTTATTTGATCGAATTGTAACTGCACTATTATTTCTCTCTCACCCTATTTGACCCATATTTTTCTGATCATGGATCTTAAAATTTCACTTAACGTATACGCAGATTCAAGTTAAAATTCTATGAGTCATATTAACATTTTATTGTATTTTGTTTATCACAATCCTTAATTCACATGCTTTAAACAATGTACTTTGCCCTTAACCTGGCCATTTTTCGGATTATTAATTTGGATATATAATTGTAGAACCTGAAGAGAATCTATCGAAAAGAATATTCTTCGTTCAAATACTAGTCTTTTAATATGACGGGGATCTTTAAACGATTAAAGCAGATACATTTGATTATACAGTTGTACAGAATAAAACTCTGACTAAAAAGGGAATTTCGTGACATACCTTATGGATACTATTAGTAGACGATTAATCTCAATAAAATAGAGCGCAAAGTGCTAAATATTTTTCACTGTATTCAATGTATAGAACTGTGTGGTTATATAATAATTTATTGGATTTTTTTATTGTTCACTTCGTAATTAAATTTTTCTCAAAGTAATTGAAAATCAGCCATTGTCGATTTTAACTAACAATCTGCAATAAATTAGATACATTTATTATTTGTTTTTTCTCAGAACCTATATACCTCCTTATTAGTTGCTATCGACATTTTAAATACTTCATCCGTAACCCAGAGCTTTATTCATCTCATTAAACGACTGTCAATATATTAATGCATTTAATGATTTTTTATGAGGTACTTTATCATTTTGATGATCGAGGTTTGGGTAATGATATGATTTTAAATCGAAGTTTTCAACTATAAATCAATCAGATTGAATTTTACAGTTAAGACGATTATGTCTAAATAAAAAAACGTTCTACTTTCTTACACACTAAAAAGGAATTAGCCTTTCAGACAAAATGAATCAGTTGAGTGAAGTGTTCTCTTTTCGGTTGAATAAATCTATCTTATTTATTGTCTTAATGGGAGGGGGAGATTCCATTTACTAAATGATAAACAAATGATAAGAAATAGAACTTACTTTTGTATCATACGTTCCATATTTTCATATTCTACTCTAGCACCATTAACCTCTTTCATTATAGCTCTTAACATATCTTCAAATTCTGGTAATAAATGTGAATTAGCCAATTTCATGTATTTCCATATATGTTTTACTTGTTCATAGCTAATTCCGAAAAAAACAAACAATAAAATTGAAAATAAAATAAGAAAAAGTAGATAAAGGTGAGTAAAACAATCTGTTCAATTAAATTTTATTATAAAAAGTCAACTTGATAATGATTCCTTTAGTTTAATTGGAACAAAAAGTATGTAGGTAACAGTTTACATTTTAATTAAATGAATAATTACACTTGGTAGTTTTGTATTTCACTGTGTATTTATTTCATATATAATATAAAGTGATAAAATTGATTTAGTTCGAATGACATCTCTATCTAGACTTAGTTTTACTAGTCATTAGTAAATGTTTGTTGATTATGATCATCGTTGTTTAAAAATAGTCAGTATATTTTGCATGAGAAATCCATGATTCTTCATTTTTCAAACAGATAGTTTTTATTCATATAGTTTTACCATTGCGTAATTCTAAACCGAATATTTGTATTGATAAGATACTAAAAGGTATATGAATGATATTTTTGTATCTGGTGTCGCTGCGACTATAATTTATGGATGACCTTTGAGCAACGTTAAAAAGATCATGAAAATGTCACCGTACATACTATCGCCAATTCAGGCTTATAAACTAATGTGAGAAATGAGGATTAGTATTTACAGTTGACAGTTAGGGTTAGATCTAGGGTTCTCACCACGAACTAACATCATCTATAATGCCAAAACTTTATTTAGCCAAATAGATAAATTAAATTAGCGTCAAAACTGAAGATCCGTTATCGTAAATCTGATCGGTTCATCAATAAATTATAGTCTCGCCCCGGTGTGCTGTAATGTAGCTTGAAGAAACATTCAGATATGTTGTCAACAATCGTATCGACACAAGTGGTGTTCGTCATGATTTGTATTCAGATAAAAAAGCGTTAGAGAAAACTCTTGTTTACTACTGAAATTTTCGATAGTTTTTGGATTGATATCACTTCACGATGGAAATCACTCTCAACATAAATGATATCTTCGATAATAATTAACTGGTTACAAGTTTTAAAATGTATATTGTAAAAAATTTTCTAGGTGTCATAACTGTTATACTTCGATGATGTTGACTAAAAATCATATCATATTAGAAATTAATTTAATTTCAAACTACAGTCCACTAAATTCCAATTCAGTGGTATGAGGCTATCGTCCATGTTACATAGTATGTGTATAATTGTGAATGCATAGTGATGAAAAGTTCAGTACTAGGGCAAAGCAACTATATGATATGTTATGTCTTTCGAAATGACATCTGCATTCGATGCATACTAGCATACTTTTTGATTTGCATTGTTAACTATTACACAAGTATATATTTGCAAATGTATAGATATGTAAAGTAAAATGTATTTATTCTAGTAGCTTTAACAAATTCTTTTTTTTACCTTTTTAATACATTTTCTGGATCTAATGATGATATAATTTGATTGTATTGTTCGTCAATTTCTTCATCCAATAATAAATTGTTTGCTGCTTTGTCAACTAGGAAATGACCTATAATCAAGTAATAATAAACAAATGATGATAAGACTAATAGAAAGTGAAAATTCAAAATGTTTTTACATGAAAAGAAACGAATAACTTCAATTTCATTTAATTCATACTGGATTGTCAAATTTGATTGGGAAATTGAATTACTGTCATCCTATTGAATAGTATAAAAACCGTTTTGTTTGGATCAAGGATAATAATGGAAACTATCACGTATTATCTAAAGGTAAATATATTTCAAGGTATGTGTACTTGAACATCTTAATGAATTTGAATTTGGCAACACCTAATCAGCCAAAACGTTTTTATAAATTATGTATATACATAAAATTACTTCAATTAGAACTAGGATTTCTTTCATTAAACAACCTCTTAATTTATTAAAATCGTTAATTCTGTAAAAACTTTGTATAATATGTAAATCAATTTCATTTCAAAATCCTATTAATTGAAGAAGGGTTAAATAATGATCAATGAATGTCCATTTTCAGAATTCTATACTTTAAATGTTATGCATATTTTCCAGTTCAATATAATATAGTTTACTAAGTAGAATTAACACCAATAACAAATACTTTTTTATAAAAATTCCATGTGATGGCAAGAAGTTCACTCTTAAAATAATGGGCTATTGAATGACCTTTCAAAGTTTTAAATCTATATTTGACTTAGGTAAAGAAACCCTTTACAGCATTCATCCTTAGCATATGAATAAATATTTGTGAACATCACCTCGTTGTTTCGTTAATATCAGTATAAATCAGTCTATAAGCACTGAATATTTGAAGATTTTAGTGAGTATCAATTTATACAAGCTGATAAATCTTTGATAATCAAAGAGATTCAACATATTTGTTTTACCCTAACTTGAGATCTGAACATTCAGTACAGAAAATCTGTAACGAACAAGTTCATAAACTTATTAAGAAAGCTGTTTTATTTCATATTTACAGGAAATAACCCTAAATAAAGTGAATTAGGTATAGTATCTCACTTCAACTCACAGAGCATCAATGACACGTATTTACTATTGTAAGCTCAAAATGACAAGTTTCCTTACTTTGGGTGATGTATTCACAACGAATTCAGTGAACATCAATATAATTTGTACGAAAGAATTTTAAGCGAAATTTTTATGACAAATTAATAATGCCTAAAATATCATCGATAGCTTAAAAGCATTAAAAAGTTTTTAAACAGAATTTTATAACTAAACGCTCATGGTATTTAGCGAGATAGAATTGTAAAGTTTATATCATCTTACATGGGTTATACTATTAGACTAATAACATAATTCATTCTAATTGAAATAAAAAGGAAATTCATTTTTAACTTAACAAAATTCTGATTTTTATTCAAGTTTAATATTGTTTAACTCCGCATGGAGTCCTTCCGGGGGTTACTGCCGGTCCTAAGTCCGGATAAAGAAGGAGGGTTGAGAATGGGATTAGCGACCCCATCCCGTAGAACACTAACTCGCTAAAAAAACGCTAACCAGAAAAAATATTCAAACCTTTTAAACTCTGTCCTGGTAGTCAGAAGGTCTTCATCTAGAAGAGTTATTACGTCTCATGATGAAAGCCGAATTCCTTCGGAAGTCACGAGGCCGATGCCCTTTCTGACAACCAGAGCAACCATTTATTTAGATACATGGAAATTATTATTGTTTAAAAAACTGGTTTAATAAACTATGATAGACAAATAAGAGTATAAAATAAAGTATGAAACATTTTGAGACTATTATTAATTTAACATCATTCAAGGTGTAATCATCAAAAGTTCCATTTTAATCAAAGTTTAGACCATATATTAAGGATTTTTCAATTAAATATACAATACCTATCTGGTAAAGACTATACATACTTTCAGAAAATACAAAAAAATTCCTACTGAAATACGAAATATACAATCTAGATGTTTATGGTGCTTCAATTTAATATATACGAAAATTATGTAAACTAAATAAGAAAGTTAAGCATATCTGCACTTTTTAATTCGTAACCAAGAAAAGAAAAGAATACGTACGATTCTAGGTTATCATGATAATTACATTAATTGGTGAAAAAAAGGACGCAAAGAAGAATAATTTACTAAAAGATTAAAGAGACCATCAAAAAGTCCAAAAGGTCAACATTTTTATCAATATTACAATAAAAGAAACCTCTTAATGGTTCATATGCGTATATACAAAAGTGGTTTACTTGATCAGTAATAGATTTAACAGTTAAACTATTTAGGTTATCAGTGACTAGGTGGTTAAATAATTTTTATGTTTATAAATATTCTAATAAAATTGTGTTACATTTTTTGTATTTATAAATATTATTTCACTGGAATGAAATAATACCAAAAGAAATTGTATTAAATTTATTTCATTAATAATAAAATTTTATCAAAACGAGTTTTGTGGATATTGTAGGAATTTCAATAGTTGAGACCATGAGTTTTCCACGGTGGTCTAGCTTCAATTGACTCATGATCTCAACCATTGAAATTATTACAATATCCACAAAACCCACTTCTGATATTAATCAACGTATGCTCATTAGTGACTGACTTCAAAATGTATTTCCTGGAGTTCTAGTGAGAAGCAATGACCAGTGGAGTTCAACCAGTTCTGTTGTGAGATAGTAACTCACTGATGACAATGGTGGATGTGTCTCTCAATTTCGTGAATTAGTTGAAGTTAGACATTAACAGTGTTGGATGCCGACTGAGTGGTCTGGAGTTTGAGCGTTCGCTGGCGAGACCGATATGTTGTGGGTGTGAATCTCACGAGGTGTGATCGTGGATATGCACTGGTGAGGAGTCGCAGAATAAAACTAAACAGCCGTCCAGTGCATTCAGGTTTTCCACGGTGGTCTAGCTTCAATTGATTCATGATCTCAACCATTGAAATAAAAATGTAGTTCAGAAATCATTTCAAAAAAAAAAATTTCAATCATGTTTACTAATATCATATTATAACACGAAGTTCAGCGAAGGGATCTCTTTTCAACGAATTTATTATCAAGCTGTACAATCGTATATATATGAAAATTTTGTTTTTGTAAAAGTACTAATTCCGTGAGGAAATGTGAGTACAGTTAATAAAAAGGTTATAATACTAGATTATGTAATATGAATAATAACAATAACAATAGATTTGATGAATATAATAAGATGATCATAGAGGTGTAAATAATAAATAAGGTAATATGATGAGTATGTACGAATAAAACAATGAGAATATAAATTTTCATATATATATACGATTGTACGGCTTGATAATAAATTCGTTAAAAAGAGATCCCTTCGCTGAACTTCGTGTTTTAATCTTAATGTTTAAATGGGAATTATCTGTTAATATCATATTGAATAAATAAAGATAAAAAGGAATGCAAATTTATTCAAAAGACTCTTCGTTGAAGATAGTTTACAGAGTCAAAAGAACTGGATCGAAGGAGGTTCGAATCAATATTTTATGCACCGCAGAAGCATTGGCAATCCACAAACTAAAACCTGAACTTTGCGTGCAAAAACGACTTGTCCGACCTCTCATCCTTCCCTGACCCTTATTCCCTTAATGGGTATGTTTCTAGGTTTTTTTTGTTATTTTTCTGCACTTTTATTATTATCGATATTTTAAAATTACTATTTTGCACTTTAAACTTTAATCATTTATTATTATTACCTTTTACAAGTTTTCTTAATTATCATTCAGTTTATTATTATTACCTTTGTTGTTTTGTCGTTTTCCTTCATATCTGTCAATTGGACTATTATCTGACCCATAAATTTCGTTCTTCCTTACCCCTTGATTAGTACGTTAACCTCATTTGTTATTTATTGTCGAATCCATTTCTTGCGATACATTCCTTTCTATCCTTCTATAGACAGATATTTTCCATATAACTATATATACGAATGTACAGCTTAAGTAAATGATTTCGTCGAAAAGAAGATTTTCTTCGCTGAATCCTCTTTTTCTTATTCAATGACACTATGGGTTATTTTAATTATCAGAAATATTCTTACGAATGAATGAGATATAAAATGAATGGATCTGAATTGAATTGTTACTTGATTATACAACAACTCAACTGCTCGAAAACTGATCCCTCGGAAATCATTACTTTGTTTACTGTTTTTAGAGTTAATGATTAATAATATATCTTGCCATAGAAACAACACGTTAAAAGTATTTAAAGATAATTCAGATATTGAAAATAGATCATATAGAACAACTTTATGCTCTAAAGATGACTGTTCTGGTATTAGATAAGAAGCGTTAATATTTGTTAAGAATTTTTATTGTCCTATGAAATGTTATTTATACCAATACAGTAAATAGCTAAAATAATCGATGATAAAGATAATAAGAAATAATAGGTAATAAATATGCGCCGTGTATGTACAAGTCTAGGATTTCAAAAGAACGGAAAATAACTAGTTACCAGGGTAACACTATCAATTTAGTTTAGATAAAAGTTATTTTTTTTATCTAATCAAAAAAATATCAGCACTTAGAAATGTTTTATCGGTATACAGTTGTGGAGATTGTTGAGTTTAGATTGAGATCATGAATGGATCAATGTTAGACTACCACTCAAAACCTGAAAGCACAAGAAGGCCGTTCCGCCCCAGTATGGAACTTGTCAGCGGTGCGCATCGACGATCTAGCACGTAGAATTCCAATCCATGACCTTCGATCTCACGCGTGAACGCTTAACCTCTAGACCAGTTAGCTGGCATCTAAAAGCATTAAAGTCTAACTTCAACCAATTCACAATATTGCACGACCATCACTTTAATCAATTTCATCCATTCATTGTTAGTGTTATTCTTGTTATTAGACATTGAAAATTTTTGTTCACTGTACTCTAATTTGAATGTTACTAAATGAGTTTTACACCATTAATGGTCTTTTTATTGATAGGATTTATTATTAGAACGTTCTACATTATTTTGTGAAATAAGACGATAATAATTTAAACATGTCTTTTATGCATTCGAATAATAAACTACAATTCATTTATTGACTATATTAAGATTATAATTTACAGTCCTGTGAAACATCTGATAACGAGATTGTTTGTTTTATATACTCTACAGAGGATAAATTCAAAACCGGTAATAAATCTTCTGTGATTAGAAGTTCTTTCATATATGTATCATATATTTCATGAATTCGTTTGATTAAATTTATTGAGATTAGATAAAATCGTATATTTCAAATGGTTTTGTAGATTTCAGTGTAGGTTAATCAATTCTAACGTCTGTTATGAAAAATGCTCGAATATGAATTCAAGTTTTATTTGAATCCACCAAAAGAATTTATTGTGACATCATTGTGTAGGGAATCTTTTGAATCATAACGTATGATTCTATCAAATTCTTAAAAGTTAACTAAATCTTCACATTTAACCCTACTATTCAGTAATACATTGTTGTTAATCTTTGTAACATCCAGTACATAGTATCACAAAATCCCTCCAAACATGACACTATTGATTTGATATCACTACGAGATAATGTTCATTTATAACAATTACTGTTAACAATATTATGGATATTTGAAACTATTCATTTCGTTATATCTGAAACGAATCATTCTATAAAAGACCAAAAGTGTCGACCTTATTATATTACAGCTTAATATACTTTTGCCAATCATACTCGCCATACCTAAGTTAAACACAACATAATAGTTAAAGAACAGAATATTATATTCAGTACTTTCGACGGAATAACTAAGTATTATTATATTTCGGATTATTTTCTATGTATCCATAGCTCTATCAACAATACAGTTTTATCCTTCAGATAACTCATATTACTTCCAATATATACCGATTAATCTTATAGTTCTTGGTGATAAAGTAACATTGATTCAATAATAATTTTCTGAGTTCAGTGCTCGTTCAACACTTTGTTTATTATGTCGGTAGATTGTATCTTACACCAAGTAGTAAAATGCACTCAAGGTCATGGTTATTATTATTTGTTTAACATTAGTTACTTATTTGTTATAGACTCTAGGTCATTTTAACTAGAAAGAACTATTTCAAAGAAAGAAGCAATCCTATTTTTTAATAAAGGGATAAAAAAGATAACCTATTATGAATACTGTTATTATTATCATCGGCAAGATAGTGAAAAGAAAGGTGATGGACAGGATGGCGATCTAATTATTCTTATTTTTATATGTCATAGATATATGTCATGCGAATATAAGTTACAGTCTCATTTAAAATATTCATATCGCACTTCTAAAACACCCATGTTTCGTTGACTAAACTGCCAAAATCGAGACTAGACTGAAGAATCACGTATGTCTATCAGATTTTCTAGAAATATTTATCTGAATGTGAATACGAGATAACCCAATTAATGAAAGTGAGCTTCTGTGTTACGGTTGTTATACGTAGATCAGTTTAATTTGTCAATGGTACTTATCACCCTATAATCTCAGTTTGAGTGCTTTTGATAACTAGAAAGCTTTTGACAGCTATTTCTCCCTTTAAACAGACTATTTGAAAGTCCACATCTATAACCCCTCTAGTGAACAAACGCTGGGCCTTGTTGTGAACGTTAATCCACAAAACAACATACTTGTGTCACCTTTGAAGTGAACATTGATGTAAGTATTTTTCGGGTACATAGATGATAGGTTCTCTTGAAGGTTTTAGTTTCATATTTCTGTCGAGAAATCTTGGTCGGGTTTTTGTTTGCAAGAATAAATAACTCTTTTTCAAAGACGCTCAGACTGAAAATTCATCAAATACGCAAGGAATGAAATATAATCAATCCCTAATTTGCGTGATGATGGCCCAACTATGAGTATTTTTTCTTTATTTAAGGAAATGTAAGTCTTACCTTTGTTTATCTATAATTAAATTATGATGGTTGGTGAAATGTGACTAAACTGAACATCGGTTAAAGATTTTTCTAATATCTTTTCACTTTCTGTAGTAATCACACGTCTGGCATAATCATTACCGAGTAGTAGATGGTTCTAATAACTAGCAATTCACTGCTAAAGTGATTTAATTTTACAAGTGATTATTTGGAATCAGAATAATTAAATATCAGTATTTTTAATTGTGCGGTCTGTTGAGAAAGCCGAATTCACCACGTGATTACAACAAGCAAAATAATTATACCGATCAAAGCTTCTAAAAAAGTGTCTTTATCAATTCAACAACTGTTATAGTACAACGGATTCTTAAATCCCTTAGCTTGGCTATCAGACAGTTAACAACAAAGTTTAGCTAATCATCATCATTAATTATTGGAATCATTACAAGATAAGAATTTACTATATTACAAAATAATCACTTACCGAAACCTTGAATGAATTCATCCAAAGTCAATTGCCCATTTTTATCTTTATCTAATAAATTGAATACAAAATCCAGTTGTGAAATCGTCAATGGTAAACGATCACTAAGACGATCTAATGCTTGACGTGTTAAATAGCCACAATCATCTGTATCACAATGCATAAACAATTGACGAGCTTGTTCAATTATATCTGAATTGCAGTCATCCATTATTGTGTTGAAGTTTGAACACAATAATAATAGTATGGTCAGGAATAAGAAATTTCAAAGTAGTAACTGCAGAAACGCTATTGTCTGAAGTAAATTTTACAACTTTAGTGTTGCACGATTTGGTTATGTAATGAACATTTATTCTCTAACTAGTATACTTTGCATGGAATTGTTATAACTCAAAATAGCTTAAAGGAAAAACGTAAACACACATACAAACTCATACTTAAGTAAGTACACATTTCACACACATACATACACACATTTCACACGTACATTCACACATAGATTTATGTACGTGCCTAATAAATATAGATAAGTGGTAGTTTCCTTTCATTTCTTCCCCACTTATTGGGCAATTTCAAAAAATTTTTTTAACAAAAATAGATTAAGAATTTTTATACTATAAAATTCTTTTCAATGGTCTGCTTCTGGACAATATGGACAAATAAGTATATTATAAAAGGATTTATACAATAAAAGTCATTTAAATAAAGAGTTCGGATTATTAGGAAAAAATGTAAAGAACAGGGGGGGGGGTTATGATCGATTGCATTTTCTAAATAACTTATTTCATATATGCTCACTGATCTGCACACACACACACACAGACAAATATCTTTCATGGCAATCATGTGATTTTGAGTACATTAAATATCAAGTAAACTTGTTAACCATTAAAAATACATGTGATTTTTACTCATTACTTTTATACTCAATTATAAGCGAGCTCCACTGTGTGAACAAAAAATATTATCAGAATTGGGTTTTGTGGAGTTTTTAGTAACTTAAAAATAGGACAAAACGACCTTCTGTTGCTTCCATGTTTCCGTAGTGGTCTAATTTCAATTGACTCATGAATTCATCTATTAAATAGAAAACATATACTTAAATTAATCAATTAACCATTTCACCTGTAATCTATATTTCAGGTAATTTTCAAAAATAAAATTACTTTCAACAAGACTAAAATGGAAAGGTACGTTAGATAGTTTTGAAGGTGTTATATATCATCAAGATTTTTTGTTAAAAAGTAGTTATTCGTGGAATGAATTCCGGCTCTTTAAATTCATTTGTTGTTACATATAAATTAACCGTCTGATTACCAGGAATTAGTCTTCATAGTTCGATGTTATTAACAAAAATGTTGTATTAACTTGATTCTTATTATTCGAATCAGGCAAATATTAAGTGAATAAACATGGACTTTAGAAGTAATTCACTTTAAAGGATTGACTAACTTTTGTTAAATTATTACACTTAAAGACGAAACAAAAATTTAGTATCGGAAGGGGTCTTGTGGAGATTGTAGTAATTTTAATAGTTAGGATCATGAGTCAATTGAAGCTCGACCACATGTGTCGCTCAATTTCGTGGATTACTTGAAGTTAGACATTAAAACCGGCTCAGTCGTCTAGTGGTTAAGCGCTCGCACTAGAGACTGATAGGTCCCGGGCTCGAATCCCGCGAGGCAGGGCCATGGATGCGCACTGTTGAGAAGTCCCACAATAGGACGAAACAGCTGTCCAGTGCTTCCGGGTTCTCTATGATGGTCTAGCTTCAATTGACTCAAGATTTTAACTATTGAAACAAAAGTTTATTTGAGTTTATAATTAAAAAAGCCATTTGTTTTTTTAAATGCAAACTGATATAATTTTGTGGTAAATTAAATTTATACATCAAGTATTTTTCCTGTAGACTATTTTTTAGCCAATGATATTCATTATTAGAAGTCTTATGTGTTTGTTTGCAAAACCCATGAATTGACAATAATGATGCATTACTGTTTGAAACATAAGTCTATATTAGAAACAAAGAGAACAAATTTATTTAGTGGACAGGTAGACATTTTATAACTACACAATTTTTTTCTAAAAACATCTTCAGTCACTGATAGAATTCTAAACAAGGATTTAATACGACAAATTAGGAATATTTCAACTGTAAAAACTCTTAGAACGTGATTGGACGGAATGACATTCAGAGATCAGTATATTCGTAGCTTACAATTCGTTTTAAATTCAAAGATGTTTAAACACAGACTAATTATTGCAAATGAACTCATATTTAACGGCATTTTTTTACTACAAATCAGGCTACATTTCGTTTGTTTATTTTATTCAATTACGGGACTTTAAATACGGGATGAAGTTTTATTATTCGCAAATCATCCTTCATATTTGTATAAATAAAGCTCGCACGTTATCTGTTGGTTTCTAAAAACTGCTCATATAGATAAAAATATTTTTGATATTCTATTAAATCCTGAAAATTGAATGGCACTAAGAATTACTAGATTTGGAAGATTAAGTAGGAGGAAAGTGCAAAATATATAGGAAATAATCTTTAGTAGTTTGCTACTGTTAAATTATTTCATCTAACTCATTATTTTGATGTAACGGACAGACTTTGTTTTCAGTCATTTTTGGAAACAGTGTGCTACAGTCCAGCGAAATCCGCGTAATTGTATTCTTTATTAGCTTAGGAGCCAAGTAAATTGATAGAAAGTTTCACAGCTACGAATGATGCTTACAGCCGTCTGGTTAGTAATTTATTTAAATAATAAGGCAGAATAATTGGCTGATTCAATATTTTCCTGAAACGTACAACTAACTTCTGCGAAATACTTGTTGCTGTATTTATCATGTCTGTGAATCAACATCTGGCACTTAAATATTGTCGAAGAACATTGGTGCTAATTTAACTTTATATGAACACAGACTTCTGTAAGCTTTAAAATCATTTAAATTACATGCTTTCTGTCTGATAAAATCGTCTTATTTGCTTACATGTTCACATAAAATCGATCTCACTTATTAATATAATGAGCTTAACAATGATGTGTCTATAAGTGTCATACACCATCATTTGCATGCAGTATCACTCCATATTTCCATATTTCTACAATAGAATAAAAGTGGGAAAAACAGTAGGACAACAAAGATATATGAACAAAAAATATTCTTTTCTATAATTTCTCATCAGGTTTTACAATTATATATCCAAATTAATATTCCAAAAAGTGTCTAGGTTTGAGGCAAAGTACATCATTTAAAATTATAGCATGTAGATTAGGGATTATTTGTAATATAAATAATAAATCAAAAACACAAGTACTTAAGGACAAACTTTCCTTGGTTTTGTTTTTCTACATTATAGAAGGAACCTGATTAACACACCTCATTATAGAACCAAGACCATATACACTCTAGATACAGTTAAAGAGGAAACAAAAGCATTGCGTACTAACCTGAAACAAAATGTATATCCAAAGAAATTTATGGGTAAACAACTATCCAAGAAAAGAGAACATGAGAAATGCCTAACTGTGAGTAAAAAGCCTCTATATATGCGTTTACAATTTAGAGGCGATGTACCCAGCAAAATGCCACTATTAAAGTTGTACATAGCAATCTAAAGAACTTTTAATGCAGGTAAACTGCAGTTACTGTTTTCTACACATCCGATGATCATTCCGAGATTGAAAGATAAATTATCTAGATTAGCCACTTCTTTCAGCTGCTCTTATGGAGTAAGCTGTGATAATTAGGAGTATTTGAACTACTGTACTAATTAGGAATTCTTAAAAATAACGCATTTTAACCAAGAAAAACCATATAAATACGAAAGAACGTATTGTATTTGGAATTCGAAATCGAGCGATCATCATGTACAAAGGAATAATTAGTTCATACAAACACTACATCCGCCACAGCTTAAATGGTGATCAGTCGTACCTCATCTTCTTAGGTTCATCATGTGCCTGTCCGATTGTATGGTGGATGAAAACTCTGTACTATTTGGGTACTGGATTTGTATACGATCACCATGCCGGTTGTGTACTGAAACAATTGATACCTAGAATTTGAAACATCGACCTACCAACACAATCCTTCCCCACGAAATAATGTTGGATGTTCATATCCTCAAGTTATAAATGATGTGAATTCATTTAAAACATACTTCTCATATTGACTACAGTATTTCATAGAAGTGACTTCACGACAAAGATAAACAATAGTTGATATGAAATCATCCGAATCGTAATCAAAATCGAGCTCATTTATTACTCGTGCTTCTCATTGAACAAGTTTCTCACAAGAAACAAATGCATTATGGGGACAAATAATATTTGATATGACATTAGGATTTGATTCTTCTTAAATATTTTCCTCAAATTTATTGTGAATGTCAGTGGAGAGTAATGGATCATTGGAAAAATCAACATCTACCAAAACTGCATCAGGTTTTTTATTACTATTTGATTCATTCAACATATTTTCCTCAGATTTGCAAGAAACTTCGTCAGAAATGTGTGAATCATTAGGACAAACCATATCTAGTGAAACCAATATCATAACGCGGCTGAACATGTCATTGTGATGTTATTTTGGTCAAGATGATTCTGTATGACATATCATTGGATTAATTTGTGTAAGAAGGTGGGTATGAATTATCATTTAGTTACAGAAAATGATCAAATATTTGTATAACTATCCTCTCGAATCTTGACTGACGTTTGTTTTTCCCTAAGATTTATTTATTTATTATATAAAGGTGATCTGTTCTATTTTGAGAAATAACATAAAATCTACATTTAAAAATAAATTTTATCATTTATTGGTTATAAACATAAGAATCTACGATTCAACATAACAGTCGCAATTTACAAATATTTATACACAACTACAAGTAGTATCGTATTGATGAAGTCACTTGAAGTAAATACCAAATCGTATAACACACTAAATAAATGTCACTTGTTTTACTGATTATATATTTTGAAACAGATGTTATTGGGAAATGATTCTTTTGTTTAAATGAAATCGACGGAATCGACAAGATATTGTGAAGTTTTTCCTTTATATTCCCTTTGGTTTATGTAACTGTGGTATTACTTTAGTCAGCTTTATCACAAGTAAAACCATCAATTTTTCTTTCGAAACATTTTCCAAAATAAATTTTCATTTTGCTAAAATATGAGACATTTTGACGTATTA